ATCCGACACTCAGAAGAGGGGATTTTAAATGTGACTGTTGGATAATGTAACCTAGGATTTTATAGAGTTTGAGAGACTTATAATTCTTTTGAAGTTTTTTTGGAAGAACCATAGAGCATAATAAATGTTTATTTTCTTGATTTTGAATGGGGATATTGGAATCAAAATTTAGGGATTATTTTTCACTCGACACCCCAGGAGAGTGAGTTGAAATAAATTTGGGTTATTGGCTTATAAACTAGGAGAATTAATTAGTGATAAGTTGACATTGAAAATGCATAATAGACGGCTAGGTAAAATCGAACATCTAGAATTTTCTCATATAGGCCTTTTATTTATTTAAATTTTCTTTTATATTTTGTTTTATTATTTTTTCTATTTTATTTTTGGTTACTCAAATAGTTCTAGAGTTGACCAATTTCAGTACTTAATAAGAATAAACACAATTCTTGTGGTATCGACACTATGTACTCACTCTTATTATTTGTCTACAATTTTGTGCACTTACGGATCTTTTACGACATGTCACATCCTCCAGATCTATCAGACCCAATAATAATTAAATTAATTGTGAAAAATATTTATTTAAGTTTTTACAATAAATGTTAATAAATTTCAAATTAAACTTTGATCTTGGTTATTTAACATATACGATTGTTTTATGAAAGGAAATTGCAAAAAGAAATACAAAATTTGACATATGGAGTGCGCTACACTCCTACTTAAAGGAGGGAGTGTGCGATTTTCACATGTATGTGAGTTTGGGGCTTTTCCCAATCCAAGTTATATTTCAACTACGTTTTTGACTTCATCAAATTTTTTTGTTTTTGTTTTCTTACCTTTAGAGATTAGAAAGTCAAAGCCACGAGCAATGTTTCTACACAGTAGTCAATTTAATGAGAGATAATGACAAGGAAGGTCATATGGTTCTAGAATGTTTCATCATCTAGAGGTTTTTGAGCCCGTTCACTTCGTTGATTCGAGTTTGTAATTTGAGTTGAGATGTGATTTTGTGTGAGAGCTTTTTACTGTAGTAAAAAAGTTAGATGTGACTGTTTACGAGAGCTTTTTACTGTAATAAAACTCGAATCGACGAAATGAATGAGCCCCTAATAGTTGAGATCAATTATTTGATAATTATTTTATATATCAACATAGATGGTTATACGGTTTTAAGAAATATTGTGGCCTCATTTATTTTATCAATTTGAGTTTAAAATTTGAGTTTTATTATAGTAAATTTTTTTTAAAAATAGTTATATTTAATTTTTTATTACAATAAAAAAACTTTTTAAATAAAATTACATCTTAATTTAAATTAAAAACTCAAATCATCCACAGATAAAAACTCATTCCGACTCGTTCTTTACTTTTCGGCTTTGTAATAAACCAACATATCACTATTTTTAATACTTTTACCTCAGAGGAGTACAAGAAAAAAAAAATATATATATATATATATATATAAATCTAGGCCCCGTTCATTTTATAAATTCGAGTTTAGAATTCGAGTTTTGTTACAGTAAAAAGCTCTCACAAACAATCATATTTAACTTTTTTACTACAATAAAAAACTCTCACATAAAATCACATCTCAACTCAAATTACAAACTCGAGTCAGTAAAGTGAACGGGCCCTAGTCTCGTCATACTCAAGAAAAATTATTACATTATAGCCAAAAGACGGGCCCCACCTGGTGGGTACCACGTAAAAAATACTAGTATTATCATGTTTGAAAAAAAAAAAAGAAAAAGTAATCATATTTCAAATTTTTACATTTGATTATTTTTAATTATTTTTAATTGATGTATTTACTTTTTTTTATTTAATCGTCATAATATTATAATTTTCATAGCATTTTAAAATAAGAAATTTGCTTCTACAATTTTCAAAACTAATTATGACAAAACATGCATATAACATTTAAACTAACTTTATTAATAAATTATAAGTATAATAACACATTAACAATATCATTTTAACATTTAATATGATTGACATTGACATTTTTATTTAAAAATGGATTTAACATCGACGTTATAGTTCTCTTAAAAAAAACCATTTAAAATGGAGGAGAGCCTGATTAGTTATCCCAAAAAAGAAAAATTTATTTTCTAAATTAGTTATCCTGAGAAGGGAAAAAAAATTAACTCCTTGTTTAATTTAACAATCTGTATTGAAAATTCCAATTCAAATGATGCTCAAAGTTGGAATTAGTGTTTGATGCGAAATTTATGAGACATTTGGTTCATGAATTAGAACTATTTTCGATTTACGTGTATTTTTTATGAAAGAAACTACTGTAACGAATCATGAATCATGATTCGAATCAGGGTACGAATCCCCTTACCATTTTGGTTCATGGATTAGAATCATGTGATTAGAACCATTTTCGATTTACGTGTATTTTTTTTGTGAGAAAAAACACTGTAGTGAACCATTAACCATGTTTCAAATCATGGTTTGAATCCTCAAACCAAATGTCCCCTAAGATTCCGTTCATTTCACCGATTCGAGTTTTATTACAGTATAAAATTCTAAAAAAATAGTCACATTTAATTTTTTTGCTATAGTAAAAAACTCACATAAAGACACATATTATATCGAATTAAAAACTCTAATCAGCAAACTAAACAGACCTTAAAATTAGGGCTGACAATTCGTGTTCGCGGGCCGTGTTCGGGCCGACACGATTACGGCACGACACGATTATAGTGAGCACGAACACGACACGATTAATAACGTGTCAGAAACCCAAACACGAACACGACACGCTAATAACACGGTTAACACGACACGACCCGCGAACACGATTATTAAACGTGCCGTGACGGGCCGACACGAAAAAAACACGTTTATGACCCGTTTATGACCCAACTAGCAAAAATAGTGAATTTTATATTGTATTCAAAACTATATTAATTGACTACTTATTATCACTTATAGTTAAATTCATGCATAATAGCCAACACACATTAAAATATCTAAAACATCACTTATGACATATGTTTTAAAACATACCAGTTACTAAACATCTAAAGAAGTTTGAAAACATAACCAAGTACATTTAAATAAGTTTAAAAACATAACCAAATATTTGAAAATTTAAGTGCATAAAATATAATCAACCATCTACAAGTCCATTGGCATATTTAAGTGCATAAAGCATAAAACATATTTAAAGTTTAGGTTTATCCATTACAAATCATCCATTGGCATTTTGTAATCAACCATCTACAAGTCCATCTACAAATCCATTGGCATTTTGTAATTTTATCAACATGCCATAACTTATTTAAAAGTTAGAGTGCTAAATTAAGTTAACCCTTTTATCAAACACCCTTCATGCAAACAAGAGAATATAAATAAAACGGGCTGTGAGAGAATGAGAGAGAATGAGAGAAAGAGAATTAGAGAAGCTAGGGTTTTATCTTAAAAATATATATATATATATATCGATTAATAAACGGGTCGGTTCGGGTCGTGTCGTGTCGGCCCGATTACGGCCCGTATAACTAAACAGGTTAAGCGTATTAAACGGGCTGGCACGAATCCAACCCGTTTATTTTCGTGTTATTCATGTTAGCCCGTTAACGACCCAATTAATAATCGTGCGGTCTAAACCCATTTATCTCGTGTCGTTTTCGTGTCGTGTCTGAAATTGCCGGCCCTACTTAAAATGACGTTTGGTTGATGGATTCAGAATCATAATTCAGAACTATTATCGATTTACGTGTGTTTTTTGTGAGAGAAAATAATGTATCGAGCCAGGAACCATGATTCGAACCATGGAATGACTCCTTGAACCAAACACACTCTATCCCCTATATTATGATAAACCTATATGATAAAATAAAAAAACATCCCTTTTATTTATTTTTCTCTCTCTTTCACCTCAAACTTTAAAATTATAATCTTGTTTATTCCATCGATTTGAGTTGAGAATTTAAATTTTATTACAGTAAAAAGCTCTCAGAAACAATCATATCTAATTTTTTTATTATAGTAAAAAACTCTCATATAAAATCACATTTAAACTCAAATTAAAAACTCAAATCAACGAACTAAACAGACGCATAACATTTTCTTTTCAACTCTGATCGAAAGTTTTCAAATCTAAGAAAAAAAAAGTTGAAATCAGAAAAATAAACCCCGGGAAAAAAAAAATCCCGCAAAACAAACAGAACCATTTTGGACGGCGTGAGCCAAATGGAGCCCCTGCCCTTGTTATTCTCCCGCGTGAAGTATGCCCACTCGACAACCAAACACCACCCATACGAATATATTATATTAATTCCAATACTTTTGTTGGTCTTGAGAAAGAAAGAAAGAAAAGGAAAGCCCAAGCGCCGTCTTGGGATTCGCGTTTCTCTGATTAGTCCCTGCTAGTGCCAGACCTAGGGTTTCTCTGATCTTCCGATCGCTCGGAAATCCTGAGGTAACAAAGCTTGGATTCCTGCACAGATCTAGCTTGGTCCCCTTCTTGAATTGATTTATCCTGTCCTCTTTCTTTTTCTCTGTTGATTTTTTTCTTAAATTAATTGTTGTTATACGCGATTTATTCTGGTAATCAAATGCTTAATTATTATCTTTTTTGATCTGTTTGTCAAATTTGATTAATTTTGTTTTTTCGTAAGGTTAGTTGCAATTTGCAAATTTATGAATAGTTTGAAAATTGAAAAAAATGGGGATAAAGAGACTTTAACCCTATGATTTTCTGTGAGTAAATTCTGGGCAACGATGAAAAAGTGTGGATAAAGTATAGTATTCGAAATTACTCTCTTGTGTATTTGTTTTTTAAGGGTTGAGGAAGACTTGTCCTTTTAGAGATTGAAGAAAATGAGGCCAATCTTTTGCGGGAACTTGGAGTTTGACTCGCGCCAGAACGACTTGGAGCGGCTTTTTAGGAGATATGGCAAGGTTGAGAGGGTGGATATGAAGTCTGGTAAGTTATTTTTTATGATTTCGTTATTTTGGTACTGCATTACTAGTAATTCAATTCTCTATGACTTAATAAAGACAATGTTATTTGTTCTGGTGTTCACATTGGATGCTCAAGTTTCATTTGCCGTTGATTTGTTTTTAGTTATCTTGTTTTTGTTGAATGGAGTTGTTACTTTGTGGATTTCGGAGCTGTTGTAAAGTTCTTTTTGTGGTTTCTGCCATAAGTTGAACACTTTGCAAATCCGAATTGAAAGAGGTTGTTTTTGAGCTTATATATGCCCTGTTCAAATTATACGGATTGGTGGTTTTCAAGTTCGTGTTGTCTAGCAAAGCTTCTGGGATCGATGCTTTCAGTTTCAGATGAAGGGAGTTGCAAATCCGTATTGCTTCAGCAACTAAGCATTCAGAGTACAAGTTCCGGGAAAATGACGCAGAATTGCAGAAAGCCTTGGAAACATTTTGGAGCTTAATAACATGGGCATTTCATCTTATGTTGAGTCATAGTGGGATTCTGAAAGTAAAAATATTGTGTACAACCATTGAAACTTACTCATATGAGACATAACTTATTGACCCTTGTCACCCTTCTGCCTAGTAGCAAATTATAACCACAATGATCTGGTTTATGATTATTGATCCCTAGTACTTCAAATAGAGATTATTTGATGACTTGCCGTTTTAGGGAGGATTGCTCTCGGAAGTTTTGACCCACAGAAGTTTTAGGGAGGATTGCTCACAGAAGTTTTAACCCACACCCACTTTTATTGATAGATGTGGGAAAGGGTATGTGAATATCCATGCTAAAGAAGCTTTAACTTGTTCTCTTGGACATAGCATTTGAGTGTATTTAAAATATCTAATGTGTTCTCTGCTTCTGAACATAGAGATTATGGAAATAATCATGGAGTAGTTTATAGGAAAAAGTATCTCGGCTAATTTACAAAAGGGTCAATAAGTTATTCTCTATATATTTCTTTTTAAATGGCTGTATACATTGTCTCCCCTTAAGAGAAACAGGTTTTTTATGCGATGTAAAACCCCACACTCAACAATTTCTTTGGCGCAGGATTACTTGGAACTTCCTTGTTCCTCTTGGATGGGTGTGCTTCTCTGCATTTCTTTTCTAGCATGTGCCCAAGCTTCATCTTCTTGTATTTTCCCAGAAGATTAGTCTGATCTGCCCTAGTCCCGCCATACCACATTCCCTCAGACCATTGCTTTTTCATTCCTCATGACTTTTGCTCAGTGTTCAATTTCCGACATGTTTCAACATTGTAACATCATGATATTGCAGCCAGTGGCAGGTGTTGTGTTACTACCCATGAGTACATTTTGAGAAGTCTAGATTTCCTCATATTTAAGAATGCCCGTCCCATAATGTTTTTGGTAGAAAATAATGTTTAGGTGACTGGTTTTCCTGCACTATTTTCTTAACTTTTTGGTCGTATAGGATTTGCTTTTGTCTATATGGAGGATGAGCGAGATGCTGAGTATGCAATTAGAAGACTTGACAGGACAGAATTTGGTAGAAAAGGGCGTCGACTTCGTGTGGAGTGGACTAAGGTAACTGGATAAGTTTTTACTGTTGTGTTCAATCCCGTAGTTGGTTTTTTAAAAAATTGATAGTAGTATTATCTATTAGAACTAGCTTCAGTTCAAGCATCATGTGATCGCCCTTATCCTCTAGCTACAAACACATAACTAACAGCAATCAATATCATGTTTAAGGTCTGAGACATGAATTGTTTCCTAAACAAATACTGTGGAAATCTGAAATCTTGTCTTGTCAATGATTACTATCTCCTCCACCCCTTGACCCCCTTGCTTTATCTATCAGCTGCGGTAGTGAGCTGACTCATTTAAAAGAGTAATATGATGTCTATCTTCATTAATATTCTTTCAGACAATAGATTCTAGGGGTAAGCATATTGAGACATGCCTCTTAGTAGAAAATGTATGATGAGGAAAAGTTTTATTTTTCTTCAGGGTCAATAACTTGATTATTTCATGAAGTTTATAATTGTTTAATCCCATACAATTTATGGCTTGCAGCAAGAACGTGGGAGAAGGTCTGGAGATTCAAGATCTTCAGCTAACACTAAACCTTCAAAAACCTTGTTTGTCATTAATTTTGATCCAGTTCATACTAAGACAAGAGATTTGGAGAGGCACTTTGATCAATATGGGAAAATACTAAATGTAAGGATCAGAAGGAACTTTGCGTTCGTTCAGTTTGAATCGCAGGATGAAGCTACCAAAGCGCTAGATGGAACAAACATGAGGTTGTACTTTCCTGTTGCAATTTCTTCTACATAGCTACGTTTAGGGTTTAGGTATTAGGTCATAGTTTCTCATTTCCCTCAGCTTCACTATTTTGGATGTCAAAACTGAAATATGCTTGTTAATTTTTTTTTTTTTTTAAAGAAAATCCTAATTTTAAATATTTTTGTGGTTTTATTTTCAACGCGCAACTTTCAGCCTTCTCTTATTAGTATATGGATCTTATAGACAATTATATAAATCTTGACTTTTTAATCTATTTTTGAATTCCAGCAAGTTAATGGATCGAGTTATTTCCGTTGAATATGCTGTTCGTGATGATGACGATAGAAGAAATGGGCACAGTCCTGATCAGAGAGGTCGTGATATATCTACTGATAGAGGCTACGATCGTGGCCGTGGGCGATCCCGTAGTCCACACCTTAGAGATAGGACTAGTCCTGACTATGGCCGTGGATCTCATCCAAATTCCAGACCTCAACCGAGAGGAAGTCCCAGTTATGATAGAGCTACAAGTCCAGATGATGGTAGATATGACAGGTAAGAGAGTGGCCACTTGTTTCTGCATTCTGCGGTCATTTTTTATTTTTTATTTTATCCTTTTCTTTGGTTAGTTTCGCCTTTTGCTTAGTCGTTTATATAGATCAACAAGGAAATACAACTATTAGTACGTATAATGAAACCCTTTTCTCTTGAGGAAACATCAGAAAGAAAATAGAACCCATTAACAACTCTCTTTTTAATTTGATTCTTAAATTGGCTATAATTATAAAGACACTGCAATTACAGGCAGCTTAACACTACTTGTTTTGCTGAAATGCAGCCCGTCGCCACTGCCATTTACAAGGGAAAAATCACGGTCCATGTAGCGTGACAAAGTTTTATTGTAGTGCTTGGTAGGTTTTATATTCTGCGGTTGACATTCTAAATCTTGTTTGTTTGACTTGTTGGTAAGTCTAAACTCTCAGGTGATGAATTTGAATCTTAATGCACCTTTGAATCACGAAGTTTTTAATCTGTGTAGCTAGTCTTGTTTCTGGAGCTTCAATTCGTTTTGCAGGATTGGATTTCTTGATTTTTGAACTTGGCTATTGTTTGGTGTGAATACCGTGATTTGTTTCCTCCCTGAAAAGTCTTTTTCTCGGAATCCCAGCAAAATATGCAAAATAAAATAATAAGGGATGATCTTTTATTTTTGAGAAAAAAAGGGATGACCTTTTATTTTATATTATTTTTTTCTGGATTTGCTCAATGCGAGTTTACTTTTGTCAATTTCCACCCTTGGGGTTCTTGGGTTCTGTTTTGATAGCCACTAGGATGTTCACTGCATTGTATCATTTTTTTTTATAAGTGCGTTATATCATTGTATTATCATGTATTGTTTCTCATAGATTTGATGCGGTTTTAAATTTTGAACGCCCGTAGGATCTGTCTTTGTGAATGGCGTACATAAAATATCTTATTGAGAAGTCATTTATATGCAGTTGTACACGTTAAGAAAACACGCACAAGTCAAATGGTTTGAAATTTAAATATTCGTTTTAGCTTTAAATTATATTTGATATTCTTCGTCATTCATATAGTTCACCTTCAAATGTAGCTTGCGTTCAAAACTGCTAATCAAAGTATTTATTAGGAAACAGAAATATTAGATCGAATAAAGAATTGGGTAAAGGGAAGAAAACAGAGAATTGCAGGAATTGTGAAAACTCCTCGTCATGCTTTCCATCCACTGTGTTGCCTGAGCAATATTTGCTCTTGTTATCCTTTTTTTTTTTTTTTAAATTTTAACAAATATCCCTTAAAATGGTATTATTAAGAATTTTTAAGTCTCAACATTAGTTTATTAAATTGTCTTTTTAGAGGAAGTAATTCGACATAATATTATTGATAATTTGACAGATATTATGAGCGGTGGGTCTATTTATCCGTGACGAACATAATTTAATAGATTAGTATTTAAAATTTAATAAATTATTATTTAAAAATTTAACAAATTATTATTTATAATTTGATAGATTATTATTAAAAAGATAGTGTATTACAGTAAAAGAATAGAATTCTAAGAAAGATGTCAGTTTTTGTAATTTTTTTATCTTTTTTTTTTAACATTGTTTTGTAATTGTCTTGTGTTGTAATAGATATTTTTTCCATTCTACTAACACAAGTTTTCCAAATATAAATTGAAAACCAAAAGTGGCGATAAGCCGGACGGATTATCTTCTACCAAAAAAAAAAAAAAATTATAGAGCCGTGGAATATCAAATCAAAATGAAACAATTCAGGAAAAAAAATTCAAAATGAAATAATTCAGAAAAAAAAATTCAAAATGAAACATTTCAGAAAAAAAATCAAAATGAAACAAAATGGCGGAAGTGGAAAAAGAAGACAAATAGGCAAGCCGACAGGAAACAGCGTCACGTCCAGGCACGCAAGGCCAAAACACCACGGGATCGTTCTTTTATATTTTTAAATTAAGGTGATTTGAGTGATAATATTGAGTTTAGTTTAAATTATAATTTGAGTTGAAGTTATAATTTGAGTTTGTGTTTAGATGTACATATTTAAGTTATGATTTAAATTAAGAATTTTTTTGAGTTTGTGTTCAGGTGGGTTAAAATTTAAATTTAAATTTATATAATATTTTAATAAAAACTCAATGGTGATGAAAAATTTTAATAAGATATATGAGTGAGATTTTATTCGTCTTTTCGTTGTGAATGCATAAAAAAAATAATCTCAATCAGAATTAAAAAGAAAAAGTTATGACATTTTTAAGAATAAAAAATTTTTGTTCATTAACTTGAGTTTAAGTTTATGAACTAGAGTTGAAAGAGAAATTTAAACTCAAATTTAGCTCTAAACTCGAGTTCAAATTTAAATTTTATAAAAAAATATGAACTTAAATAAAGTTGTAATTCAAGTTTAAATTTTTTTTTTAGTTTCGTTATAAAATGAACAACCCACGCGACTCGTTGATCCGTCCCCAACCCAATATTCCATCACACAATCCAAGGCACTGCTTTTGCTTTCTACTACTCTATTCCGCAGATATTTGACATTTTTGTAAATAGCATCACTTAAAACAAGTCAGTTTCCATTAAAACCGTAACCACATTAGTTTACTTTGCCTTAGTTTACTAACCAAGTAAATGCCACAAAAGAAAACAAGAAGAAAAAAGGGCCTTTGTCCGTGTCTTTTTGGTTTTTTATGCTAGTGGGTTTGAGTTAATAGTTTTTACTACCACGAGTCTCAAACTATCCTTTTTTTTTTTCTTTTTTTTTTTTTTTGCTTCAATCAAACAACGCAAGCGGTGACCACAACAGGGGCCGAGTCCTGAATGGGAATGAACCCAGAGGTTGAAGACTGCCAAGCCCAATTACAAAAATTATGAGCACTTTGGTTCCTGGATCTAGAGATCCACTTGAAGGAAACACAAGTAAATCTAGAAGCTAAACTACGATTACAATCAACATATGAAAGGCACCACCAGACAATAATATCGTTCAAGCAGTCTATCCCTAACTTGGAGTCACTATAAATTGATACCTCCTTCCACCCTCTCTGAAGAGCCTCCTTGATGGCTGAGAGCTCAGCATGAAGAGCGGAGAAACAAGAAATTTGAAGACAATGAAGATGTATCACTTCTCCCCCTTTCCAGCAAACAACGCCTGTTGACGCTTTTGCCCTCCTTCCACGCCGCGTCCACCGTCAACACATAGGAATTCTGACCCTCCTCCTCGCACGGTCTCTGCAAATCAGAAGACAGGGCCAGAGGAACAATAGAATGACGCCTAAGAGAGAGAGAGAGAGAGAGAGGGCTGCACCCTATTCACATAGCCACACGTCTCTCGGAGCCTGAGCATGATTGATCTCAGCATATCATGCGGTTGAGAAAGAATCTTATCATGCAACGCAACTATAAATTCAAATTTTTAATTTAAATTGAGATGTGATATTTTTTTAGAGTTTTAAATTTTTAATTCGAGTCCACACGTTATATTTTCTTAAAATTTTTGACTGTAATAAAAAAAAAATTAAATGTAATATTTTATAAAAAATTTTAACTATAAAAATTTAAAATTTAAAATTTAAAATAATAAAATAAACGATGATTGAATTTTTTGCCCTCCAAACTTGATCCCAGCAAAGAGCACCAAAGAGGATAAATTCATTACGATCAGGTGCATTGATCCTAAACTCAGAAGGAAATTTTAAAAGCCACTCAAAGAGATCATTACTCGATGCTATCTCAATTCCATACCAATGAATTGACCACTTGCTCGCAAACCAGATATGGCCCCGTTTATTTCACCGATTCGAGTTTAAAATTTGAGTTTTACTACAGTAAAAAGTTCTCAGAAACAATCACATCTAACTTTTTTGCTACAGTAAAAAGCTCTCACATAAAATCATATCTCAACTTAAATTACAAACTCGAATCAGCGAAATGAACGGGCCCTAATGACCCTGCTTTATGCAAAAAGATGGCGCACCGACTCCAGATGCTCGTCACACAAAAGATAGGTTATACTATGCTCGTTCTCCACCCAATACATCTCATCCCTAGTAGGCAGGGAATCCGTTGCTAGTCTTTATAAGAAAATTTTCTGGACGTGTTTAGAACTCATTCTAAAATAATTTTATTTTTTATATGAAAATAAAAATGAAAATATTTTTAATCTCAGACATAAATTATTTTTAAAAATGCGTTTAGTAATTTTATCAAGAGATTATTTTCAGTATAAAAAAATTTATTAATGTCTCTCTCTGCTATCGAGAGGAGGAAACAAAAACAAAAAATAAAAAATGACTAAAAATTATTTTTTATTTCTCTCTTATTTCACACTAAATTAAAAAATTATTTTCATTTATGTTTTTTATCTTTATTACGCCAAATACTGTTTTAAAAATGTTTTTATTTTTTATTTTTTTAAAAAATGAGATCAATTCTAAACACGATCTCTATATTTCATGAAGAGGTGCCTTCCAAAGAGTTTTCCAGCACTCCTGTTTAGAGAACATGTCCGCATTTGCTACCCAATAAGCACTTTTTGTTAGGAAATTTTATTTTCTATTATTTATTATGGGTAATATATTAATTGACAACTATATTACTACTATTTAAATTGATTGGACAAATTAAGTGGTCAATTTAAGGAAGTTTAATAAGTTTTTTAATTGGGTATGGACTAAATAGATAGATATTAAATATTGATCTAATTAGGTTAGTGGATGTCTAATGTAACAATATATTAATAAACTTATAATATGATTCTCAATAGGTCAAATCATATAATTAATAAAGAAAACACTCATTCAGAAATCTAGTGATTTGATTGAAGAAGACAATAACTTTAATAACACGTTGTTGAAGAAATTTTTTGTTAAAGATTAAAACTGTACTAATGAAGACTGATATTTATTATAACATATTTTCTTAATAATTTAGTGTGATGATTTAGGTGGGTTTAAGGATTAAGGCTAACACTTTTGACGGAGAAATCATTTGAGCCGGGACCAATCCACACCGCTTTATCTTCTCCCGGAAATAATAGAGGGACAATATTCAAGATCCGATCTGCCACCGGCATATCAAAAGCAGTTCGCACAATATGTTCGCTCTAAAAGCGGGTGTTAGAAAAAAAGAGCGAGGAGACAAAAGAGGTGGGAAGGTTGTTTGTTGGGCTGAAAGGAGCCTTTCGCACATCTCTTGGTCCCCAAGGCACCCAAGGATGATTCCAAAGGCCAACACTGTCACCGAACCAGATTATGAAGGCACACCTTTTGAGAAGGAGATCCCTTGATGACAAAATACTCTCCACACATAAGAATCTGAACCATTCCCTTCCACACACCAAACATCCACTGAATGGCAATATTTTGATTGCAAGGCTGAACCCCAGAGCGCCTCTTTCCTGGAGACTAAGTTCCAATCGAGTTTAGCAAGCAGAGCGAGATTCATGTCTTGGAAGCGTCTTATCCCCAGACCCCCACAACTTTTTAGTTTGCAAATCTCCTTCCAAGCAATTATTGCATGACATTTACTGCATTCTGAGGAACCAGTCCACCAAAACCGACGAACCACCGCATCAAGACCCTCACATATAGCAAGAGGAATCTTAAATGTAGACATAACATAGGACGGGATCCTCCGAACCATAGATTTCACTGGGGTCGTTCGTCCTGCACGGGATTACAGTTTTGACTTCCATCCCTCGAGCCTAGCCAGCACTCTTTCTTAAAGAAATTTTAAGTCCTGGATTCTGCTTTTAGAGAAGAAAAGCGGATTTCCAAGATACTTCTCATTGCCCTACATTATAAGCATATACAAACTAGCTGCAATATCCCTCGCCAATGAGCTCTGAGTGTTCTTAGAGAAAACCAGAAAGGATTTTGCGACATAGGGTTCGAATTTCCGAAAGGTTAGCACGCCCAAATAAAAAAGTATCATCCGCAAAACACAAATACGAAATCGGCGAGCCATTTCGAGAGATCTAAATACCAGATAACCGGCCCGCAATTTGTATTCTCAAAATTAGCTTAGAGAGAACTTCACTGCACAAAATGAACAAATATGGAGAGATCAGGTCCCCCTGCCGAAGGCCTCTGGAGCTTTTAAAATGAGTTAAGAGGGCTGCCGTTAAGAAGAACCGAAAAGGACGCTGTCGAAACACAAGCCATAATTAATGAGCAGAAATTATCACTAAACCTATTAGCCCGTAGCATTCATTCCAGAAATGGCCACTCAACACGATCATAGGCCTTGACATATCAAGTTTTATACCCATGGGTTCTTGATTTTTTCTTCATAAGCTGCATAATCTCCTGGACTAGCACCGAATGTTCAGCAATCCATCGGCCCGAAACGAAGGCAGATTGGAAGGGCGAAATGGGTTTAGCGAGCACCTTCCTGATCCGGTAGCTTTGAGAGAACCTTATAAGAAAAGTTACATAGGCTTATCGGCCTGAAGTGATCCAAGTTCACCGAGCCTTCCTTATTCGGAATCAACACGACAAACGTGTGGTTGATACTATTGACAAACTTGGCCGAGGACAAGAAATCCTGAATGGATCCCACCACTGATGGGCCAACAATATCCCAGTAGAAAGCCCCTACCATGCCATCCGAGCGAGGGGATTTCAGAGGATTCATGTCCTAGACAACCCTTTTAATTTCCGCCGCAGAGGGCACACGACAAAGCTCTACATTGTCCTCTTCGGTGATCTTTTCATCGAAGAGATCTTCTAATTCGTCCCCAATAACCGGATGGGCGGAAGAGAAGAGCTCTTTGAAATTCAAATTCACATGCGAGCCAATAAGAGCCCTACCCCTAAGCCAAGAACCATCGTCCCTTTGAATTGCCAATATATGGTTGCGCTTTTTCCTGATTATCGTAGAGGCGTGGAAAAAACGTGTGTTTCTATCATCTTCCTTGAGCCAAATTTCCCTAGAATTTTGCTTTCAAATGCCTTCTTGACAGTTTTGGACCTCCTCCATTTCCATCTGGATTGCAGCTTCCTCTGCTAAGCTTTCCGCAGAGATAGGTTGGTTCTGGACTTCGACAAGTTTATGTTCAAAGAACCTTAGCATGTCCTTGTAAAAACCAAAGATCGTCTTGTTCCAAATTCTAAGAGCGAAACCAGTGACACTTGTTTTCCTCGTCAGGCAGAATCTTTTGGATCCAAGAACAGGGACGCTCCATGCATTGACATTATACTTAAGCCTCGTTCACTTCGCGATTTAAGTTTTCAATTTGAGTTGATACGTGATATTTTTTAAAATTTTTTTATTGTAATAAAAAAAGTTAGATGTGATATTTTTTAAAAATTTTTTACTGTATAAATCTAAAACTAAAAATTTAAATCACTAAATGAACGAGACTTAATGATATGAAAAAAAGAAGTAAAAAGTGCATTTATTTTTCCTTTTTGTTTGTTTGTTTTTGTTTTTGTTTTTGTTTTTTATTTTGATTTTGATTTTGTTTGTTTTTGTTTTTGTTTTTGTTTTTGTTTTTTTGTTTTTTGTTTTAATGCTAGAGTGTTTGAGTTGGATAATGGCTAATAAGCATTTTGAACTAAGCAATGGAAGTACAAGTTTTTACCCTTGAAAATGGTCGAGTCCGGATAACTAAAGACTGGAAAGTAGAAGAAAATAATATACGGTCTATTTTGATGATAAATTGATAATATGCAATTTCAAGAGTTGGGTTTTCTTCCAAAAAAAATATCAAAAGTTAGGTGTACGTTTCCTAAAAAAAAAAAAAAAAAGAAAGAAAGAGAAAGAAAAGAGGTTAGGTGTACATAATATAATTATGGCTCTTATCATTTTGATGAACATGTACTTTTTTTCTGTCCCTTATTATTATATGCGTTGTCTTATAAAAAGTCAGTGTTGCATGATGATGATTTTCAAGCGATATCATTGCATGCATTAAATTAAAAATTTGGATTAAAAAAAATCCCTTAATTAATCTGACGCCATCATTTCGGGTTCTAAAATAAATGCATGGAACAGAACCAAAATGTTTTTTTGATAGAAAAAAATAAAATGGATGCTTTCATGTTTAAACCATCATCACAATTGGAAATTATGTTAAAAAAATTAGAAAACTAATATTTAAAATAATCTCTTGAAATTTGCATGAGCCATTGAGTGCACAGATATTCATCCAAAGTATTATCATAACAACCCACATAATCAATGTTGGAACTTGGAACCTTCGAATATTTAATCCAAAAATTGAAATTAGGACAACAAAGATGGTGGTCCACTCACCTATTTAAAATAGCAATTTCTTTAATCCAATATTTCGATTTAAAAATTTTTAAAATAAAATAATAAGGAACAGTTTGGGGAACCCATCCTTCTCTTGCTGCCTCCAATTCAAAAAAGAGCAGTGCGTCACATGATAATATGGGATGATCGACCAAATATACATCAATGACAAATTTGAATTTTAACAGCAAGATCAGGGGCATATTCATAGAATTCATTTCACAATTTAAGTTTTCAATTCTAAGTTTTTATAATTAAAAATTTTAAAAAAATATTATATTTAATTTTTTTTGTTACAGTTAAAAACTCTAAGCCTCGTTCACTTCGCTGATTCGAGTTTAGAATTCGAGTTTTTCTACAGTAAAAAGCTCTCACAAACAATCACATCTAACTTTTTTGCTACAATAAAAAGCTCTCACATAAAATCACATCTCAACTCGAATCAGCGAAGTGAACAAGGCCTAGAGTCTGTTTAAAAATTATAAGAAATTTTTACTATAATAAATTTTAAATTTTAAACTCAAATCAATAAAATAAATAAGACTTACAAAAAATATAACATCTTAATTCAAATTTAAAGCTCAAATTCTCAAATTCACAAAACCAACAATATAATTTAAAGGTAAATAGTAAAAAATAAGCCAAAATAAAAAGTTTAAGAAAGTATATAAGTCAATTTTTAGTTATAAAAATTAATAGACTATAACTTATCAAGTTATGGTTCATAATCAGATAAGTTATGAATAAATTTGTCACGTTATAATTTATAGTGAGATAAGTTATAAACAATTATAGATAATAACTTATCAAATTATAATTTATAACAAAATAAATTATAAATAAAAACAATAATTTAACCTATTTATTAATTTATATGAATTATTAACCTATTAATTTTAATTCATTCTATTTTCCTATTTCTCCCTAATTCAAAAAGCGAACTACTTTTCCAGTAATCAGTCGCTTTCACACGTGGGACATTTTTGAACCGTTTAAAACACTGCCTCGAAAAGTAGCAAAACGTCTCCACCTCACTCGTGGCAAAATGCGCCACGTCACCATTTCGGGAACGGAAAAAAATAAAAAATTCATGAAAATCATATTCAAAATTTTAACGGTCGGATCTTCCGCCCAGACCGGCAATGACAGCCGTACGATCGTAAATCATGTTCGATCTTTAACGCTTCTTGTCCGAAACATAAGCTCTTTTTATCTCCTTTAAAGGCCAAAACAGTAAAATATAACGCATTGTTTTTTTCTTCTTTGTTTTTTTACAGAGAATCCAGAGAAAGCGAGAGATTGACAATTTCTTCGATTTAGAGAGAGAGAGAGAGATTGAAGATTTTTGAATTACAAATTTGATTGTCTCCTTCACTGCTTGCTCTGTCTGTGTCTGTTTTATGTTTGGGAGTTCGAATAGCTTAACTGGGTTCCTCATATTTTTGATCTTTATTGAAGATTCTTCTATTTTTTTTTTCCACTTTTCATTTGCGTCTGTTTTTGTATTAGGAAAACGATATAGCTTTCTGGGTATTCTCTGATTCTTAGAAAAATTGAGGGTTTTGGAATCTTTGGTCATGAGCTGCTTCGGGAATTCATGGAAATAAATTAGATTTCAAGCTCAATTTTTACCCTGATCACTGATACTTAAAGTGAGTGAGAGAGAGAAGTTTCGAGATCAAGCTTACTAGGTTGCTTTTCTCAGAGAAAAGGACAACTTTCTGGTTTCTGAGTCGTAAAGGTTGGTGCTTGACAATTTTCTTTTTAATCACTACTTCAGAATATGAATAAAGTGATTTTCTTTTCTTTTCTATTTATTACCCCATAAACGTTCTTAACTGGATGTGATTAATTTCATTTATTTATTTATTTATTTTTCTAATTTTGTGGCCTCCATTATCAGCTGAGACGAGAGAGAGGAGGAGAGAGAGAAAATGAGGGGGAGGTCAACGTCCGATGGCTGTTGTTAACAATGGAGTTCCTTTTGAAATGACAAGCAAATTAAAATCAAAATTTTGAGGTATTTTTCGTACTTATTAATATATTCTTTTTGAATTTTCCTGAGAAAAATTAAATGTGGGAGTCGGTCCATCTAGAGAAAAATTTGAGTACACTACTCTATTTATACAACTGTTGATAGAGGCTTCTACTAAGTCCTATCTTTTCTTCAAAGAAAAATCTCTCTCTCTCTCATTCATCTTACTTAGCAGATAGTTACGTTAATTTTGTAAATTTGAATTTAAAATTTGAGTATATTTAAATTATTATAGTAAAATTTTTTTAAAAATAATCTTATTTAATTTATTTATTATAATAATAATTTTTCATATAAAATCATATTAATTTAAATAATAAAGTTATTTAATTTTTTTATTATAATAAAAATTTTTCATATAAAATCACGTATAATTTAAATTAGTAGAGTGAATTAAACGGCCTTTAATCTTAGATGGCAATATCCCATCAGAATGTAACTTTACTTGCCCCATCTCTCTCACGTATGTTGACCGTCCGATTTTGATCAAAATCTAGTCAGATAATATAATATCAGATATCTCCACTTCCATCGTTGAGACGTAGAGCTGTAGGCTGTAGCTCTTAGTTTCTGTATGTACCGATATACCTCAAGATCACGCAATGGAGAATTGTTTGTATGTTGAAGGGTATATTCGGTATAGCATAACTATGGCCGACGGCCTTCTTAATTATTGGTGAAGCACTTATTTTGCCATTAAAAGTAGCGTCTTTCATAGTTATCACCAAGAATTTTATATCCTAACCCCCAATTATTATATATTTATTTGTTTACTCATTTCTGCCGTTCAATTTTCATTTGGCATTAAATGAATGATCACTTGCAAAAAAGCAACATAATTAAGAAAGGACTAAGGTGGGTCATCTTTTAGGTACTTTGATGGCTATCGTTTCTCAGCAAATAAACATGTTGTGGTTTGTACAAGATTCTCGAAGCTCTTTGTTGTGGCTGGCCAATTGTCTTTTTTCATTTTTATTTAATGTTTATCTTATACACATATTAAATTCCATCCATATTTTTTTTGTTTTTATATTATTATGACTTTTATAATTGTAACTGCTCCACTTGCCTTTTACTCGTCTATAATACCAACTCAATATCATTCTTAGAAAAGGTTTGGTTTTCTTCAAATTTCAGTTGGTGTAGCTCTCTCCTCTGTTTACCAATTTCAACACATCAAAACCATGGTGGAAGAGAGTGGGAAGGAGGTTTTGGTTGATACCTTGTCAGCTGAAGATTGGTTATCACGCGCACAACAGCTTATCCCATTGGCATTATCCAAGGCTAAAGTGGTTAAGGGATTTCCTGGCCGATGGAAGATGATAATTTCGAAGTTAGAACTGATCCCATCACGGTTATCTGACTTGTCGAGCCATCCTTGCTTCTCCAAGAACACTCTTTGCAAGGAACAGTTGCAGGCGGTTTCGAGGACGTTGAAGGAGTCAATTGAATTGGCAGAGCTCTGTGTTGAGGAGAGGTATGAAGGTAAGCTCCGGATGCAGAGTGACCTTGACGCGCTTTCGGGGAAACTTGATTTGAATTTGCGAGATTGTGGGCTTCTGATCAAGACTGGGGTGCTCGGTGAGGCCACTTTTCCGTTATCTGTTTGCGGTTCTTCAACAGAATCCGAGGGTGCTGCTCATGGCAATATAAGGGAATTGCTTGCGAGGCTTCAGATCGGGCACTTGGAGGCGAAACGTAGAGCTCTTGATAGCCTTGTTGAAGTGATGAAAGAGGATGAGAAGAACGTTTTGGCGGTTTTAGGACGTAGCAATATTGCTGCTTTGGTCCAATTGCTTACTGCAACCTCTCCTCGTATTCGGGAGAAGACTGTGACAGTGATCTGTTCGCTTGCAGAATCCGGGAGCTGCGAAAATTGGCTTGTGTCTGAAGGTGTTCTTCCTGCTCTAATAAGGCTTGTGGAGTCGGGAAGTGCGGTTGGAAAAGAGAAGGCCACAATCTCGCTTCAGAGGCTGTCAATGTTGGCTGAGACTGCTCGTGCAATCGTAGGCCATGGTGGGGTTCGTCCCCTAATTGAGATATGTCGAACGGGTGACTCTGTCTCTCAGGCCGCTTCCACTTGCACCTTGAAGAACATTTCAGCCGTCCCCGAGGTTCGACAAGCTTTAGCTGAAGAAGGGATCATAAGGGTCATGATCAATCTCCTTGATTGTGGCATTTTGTTGGGGTCCAAAGAGTATGCAGCCGAATGCTTGCAGAATCTCACTGCCAGCAACGACAACTTAAGAAGGTCTGTCATCCAAGAGGGTGGAATCTGCAGCCTATTGGCGTATCTTGACGGTCCATTGCCTCAAGAATCTGCGGTCAGTGCATTGAGGAATTTGGTTGGCTCAGTTTCTATGGAGGTTTTGGTTTCCCTCGGCTTCCTACCACGTTTGGTTCACGTTCTTAGGTCAGGGTCACTTGGTGCACAACAGGCTGCTGCGTCGGCAATCTGCCGAGTTTGCACCTTGGCAGAGACAAAGAAGATGGTGGGTGAGACGGGGTGCATTCCCTTGCTCATCAAGATGCTCGAGTCTAAGTCAAACAGCATCAGAGAGGTCGCCGCACAGGCAATTTCTAGCTTGGTGACCCTTTCACAGAACTGCCGAGAAGTTAAGAAGGATGACAAGAGTGTGCCTAATCTGGTTCAGTTGCTTGACCCTAGTCCACAGAACACAGCAAAGAAGTATGCAGTGTTTTGCCTCGCTTCGCTTTCATCGAGCAAGAAGTGCAAAAAGCTTATGATTTCTTATGGGGCAATTGGGTATCTCAAGAAGCTTACTGAGATGGAAATCCCTGGGGCTAAGAAGCTGCTTGAGCGGTTGGAAAGAGGGAGGTTCAGGAGTTTGTTTATCAGGAAGTAGAGGGAATGAAGTTGCTAAATGCAAACGTCTTTTTCGTATAATGAAAGAAAGGCGCTTTAACTTTTCGTATCTTAGCTGTCTCATTGTCTATATGAAACAAAAGTAGTTAGTTTTAAGGACATGAAATGAGATGCTTATCAATGTTCTCTCACTTATTTATGAAATGAGATGCCTTTGTTGCGTTGGCAGGGGAAAGTCTGACCGAATTATACCACTTACTAATTTGATTGCTTTACAATTACAAATGTTGCATATATTTAAACTATGATACCAAGAGTTGCTTCAGAAAGATTGTAGTTTGGACAAGGTTTATCTATATCATTTCCGTTTCCCTTAGGTTTAGTTATATTAACCAAGTTATATCTAAATATAGTACCCTAGTGTATATTATGTCTTTCTTCTGTGTTCTTAGAAGTTTGAAAATGTAAAGGCAGCTAAATTTTAGAGCATGTATACAAAATCATAATTGAATCTTTAGTTGTCACGCTCAAAAAGTTCTATAACAACAAGCTTTCTTATCGACCCATTTCTTTTTTTTTTTTTGGATTTTGAAGTCTTGTTTACAAACAAATTCTACTCGCCGACAATGTTGCAAAATTAAAGATCATTTGCATTAGAAAAGTTTCTCATGAAAAAAAAAGAAAAAAGAAAAAAGAGAAAAAAAAAAGAAGGAAAGATGATAAAAGACAGATTGGATTGGTTTAAAAGGAACTGTCGTAAGTTTCCCCTAAGTTTTAAGAATCCATATATGTCAGGAGACAAATTATTACAGAGAATATCATAGTTATGTATTGCATTATATTTAAAATATCAAATATACTTTTAGATCCGGCCACGATATTAGTATCCGACCGAGATATCCGGCAGCATCCGGTCACAAAACCAAAAGAAGTGGCAAGGCTGAACGATAGCAGAGCTACCCACGACGACGGCACGAGTCGGTATCCATTTAGATATCGGCCTGATACCAAACGGTAATTGCTGCTATCCACCTAGTTACCGGCACCCAGCTATGATACCAGTCGGTATCCACCACAAATACTCGCCGATAACCGGCAATACTGGTGGCACCACCACCGTTCTCGTCATCGGAACAATAAAAAATCACAAAGTTCACAAATACATGCCAGAGAACAAACTAAAAAATCAAAACAGATAAAAAAATGACAAATAGATCAGAAAAAGAGGAAAAAAAATTGAGAGCTCCGTCGAAGAGCTTCGGCAGCGAGACAGAGTCCTCTGCGCAGCCGTAATATCGTGCAAGGGTATGGTTCTCTCAGATCTAGTATTGGCAGCCCACGAAGATGTGGTTGAATCGGGGGAAGGGTGCGCAACGTACGACGCTCCCGGCCGGTCTCCTTTGCGCAGAACTATAGTGCCATGGGGAGATGTTACGGCCTTGGTGTTGGCGAGCTCTTGCTCGGCCTCTGCCACGGCGAGGTATTGTCCCTGACGTGAAGAAGCTCTCAAAGAGATTGATACTAACGTCATTTACTGCAACTGAATTGTGGAAAATCAATGGTGCCCTTTCATTGATCTTCCCTTTTCTTAAATACAATGGAAATATAAGCACTACGTGCACAATCAGTTGTACACACCTAAAAAAAAGGAAAACATGCAGAACATAGAACATGGAAAAATGGCCAATAAACACACTGAACAATGGCCACTTGAAACAGTCAATAATGACAAGATAGGAAAACATGTGCTGGAAACTAATAGAAATAAACAATAATATTAAAATCAACAAACTAACAAGAATTCCTAAAAAAAAGCCCAGTAGTTCTCTGGGCACGTAACAATCCTCCCCTCTTGAAAACGGCCTTGTCCGCAAGGCATCAGGAAACATTTTCTCCTTCGTCAGCTATCTCAGGCAAGGATTCCTCCACGCTAGTGCTACAGTAATGAGACATGCACAACAGGATGAACTTTACTTCCTTCCGGTAAAAGTAACTTGTAGGCAACTGGACCAATTCGTTCAATGATCTTATATGGCCCGAAATATTTTGCCGCTAACTTGTGCCTTCGATCGCCAGACAAAGAAAGCTGCAGATATGGTTGTAGTTTGAAATACACCCAATCTCCAATTTCAAACTGGCGATCCTTCCTTCTCTTATCATATGTTGCTTTCATTCTCTCTTTAGTCTTGGAAAGGTGTTGGCGTAGTTGGGCAATAACCTGATATCTTTGTCTCAACTCCAAATCCACACTTGCTTCCTTAGCTGAGCCCAGCTCATAGAACGTTAAAACTGGAGGAGATCGACCATATACCACTTCAAAAGGTGTGAAGCCTGTAGACGAATGCCAACTAGCGTTGTAACAGAACTCGGCCCATGGTAACCAACGAGTCCAATACTTCAGATTATCTCTTGCAAAACAGCGCAAGTACATTTCAAGAGTACGATTGGTTACCTCCGTTTGTCCATCCATTTGCGGATGATATGATGACGAAAAACGGAACTCGGTCCCTTGTAGTCGAAATAACTCCTTCCAAAATGAACTTGTGAAGACGGGATCACGGTCGCTTACAATTGACTATGGCACTCCATAAAGTTTGAGGACATTCTCATAATAGGCTTGGGCAGCACTGTTGGCGGTGACGGGTTGTGACATTGCAATAAAGTGCGCCATCTTCGATAACCGATCCACAATTACCATAACTATTGTCTTGCCTTTAGAAGATGGAAGGCCAACAATAAAGTCCATTGAAACTTCAGTCTAAACTTCTTTGGGTGTAGGAAGCAGCTAAAGAAGTCCAGACGGTGCGCCTTGTTCCCTCTTATTTCTTTGACAAACATTGCAAGCTTTAATGGCCTCTAACTCTTGTCATTTCATTTCCTTCCAATAAAATTGAGACCTTAGGCGTTGAAGAGTTTTGTGTAACCCTTCATGAGTGGCTGAATGAAACCCCTGTATAACGTCAACCGTCAATGGAGATGAAGGAAGCAAATAAATTCGCCCCTTAAAGAATAATAGCCCATCCTTGCAAGCCCATGGGCCAAGAAGCTCCCCTTCCTGAAACATTTTATGAAGCCTCTGCATATCTATTTGGCTTTTGTTCTCCTCGTGAATGGTCTTCAACCATGTGGGAATCAATGCTGATATTGCCATCATTTGCGCCGATTCGTCTCTTCTAGAAAGAGCATCTACCACCGAATTATCTTTTCCTTGCTTGTACTCAATAGTGAAGTCGTACCCCATTAATTTACTAAGCCACCTTTGTTGTGCCGTTGTTGTAATTCGTTGACTCCACAAAAATTTAAGGCTTTTATGGTCAGTGTGAACCACAAATGCCTTCCCCAATAGGTATGGCCGCCATTTCTGTACCGCTAGTACCAGAGCAAGCATTTCCTTGTCATAGGTGGACAAAGATGCATTCTTCCCTTTTAAGGCTTGGCTGAAGAAAGCTATTGGCCTTTTTTCCTGCATTAGAACTACACCGACACCATTATTAGAAGCATCACATTCAGTAACAAAGGTCTTAGTGAAGTTGGGTAACGCCAAAACGGGCCCCTGAACCATCACTCATTTGAGTTCCACAAATGCAAGCTCCGCTTCATGAGACCACTTGAAGTTATTCTTCTTCAACATTTCAGTTAATGGGGCTGCTATTTTGCCGTAATCTTTGACGAATTTACGGTAGTATCCGGTGAGTCCCAAAAAGCCACGCATAGCTGTCACCGTGGTTGGTTTGGGCCATTCTTCTATTGCGGCTATCTTATTGGGATCCATCTTTACTTCTCCTTCTTTGATGAGATGCCCCAAATAATGTATTTGCGAAACTCCAAAGCAACATTTTTCTTTTTTGACAAAAAGCTGGTGAGTAGCTAAAATAGAGAATACCACATCCAAATGTTTCAAGTGAGATTCCCATGTAGAGCTATATATCAAAATATCATAAAAAAAAGACCAAAATAAACTTCCACAAATATGGTCGAAAAATGTCATTCATTAATGCTTGAAATGTGGAATGAGCATTAGAAAAACCAAAAGCATTACCAGAAACTCATAGTGCCCATCATGCGTGCAGAATGCTGTCTTCTCAACATATGCTAGATTTATGGGTATTTGGTGATAGCCGGCAGGCAAATCCAATTTTGAGAAATATTTTGCCCCAAATAGCTCATCGAGTAACTCGTCTATTACTGGTATAGGAAATTTGTCCTTGATAGTGGCCAAATTCAAAGCCCGGTAATCGACACAAAATCGCCACGTTCCATCTTTTTCTTGACTAGTAGAACTGGCGAAGAGTATGGGCTAGTGCTTGGCCTGATGATGCCACTCTCCTTCATCTCGCTCACTAATTTCTCTATCTCATTCTTTTGATAAATTGGGTAGCGATAGGGTCTCACTGATATTGGTCCCGTACCGGGTTTCAGTGGAATTTTGTGACTATGGGCCTTATTTGGGGGAATTCCTTTGGGCATTTGAAAAATAATTACGTACCTCCCAATAAGAGCCTTCATTTGTTGCTGTTGATATATTCCCCACGTTGGCTTGTCATCTTCTCCAGAGGAGGTGACCCCGTCGAGCAAAAGAATTTGCATCAAGGTCCCTTTATTGCCATTTCCCCGTATCTCCTTCTCCATCTTTCGCCGATCAACCATTTCCGGGCGATGAGATTGAACACCAGTGAGGTTAAGTTCCTTCCCCAGCCAATTGAACGTCATTGTTAGTCTCGCAAAATCCCACACAATCGGTCCTAAAGTCTTTAACCATTGCGCTCTGAGGATAGCGTCACAACCTTCTAGTTCTATCACAAAAAACTCCACCTAGAATGGGTTCCCTTGGATCGTGATTGAAGTGTTCGGTAGCCGACCCATACACGGAAGCTTCTCTCCATTGGCTACCATGACAATCATGCGCGCCCCTTCCTCTGTCTTCAACCCAAATCGCGAAACCCATGCTCGGTTAAGCAAGTTGTGTGAGCTTCCGGTATCCAGTAATACTACTAGCGGACGTCCATCAACCTTGGCTGGAACCCGCATAATTTGAGGAGTGGATGCTCTTGTAATGGCGTGGAGAGAAATTTTGGCCATTTCACTTTCCGGTTCAGGTTCGACTTTTTCTTCCTCCACATCTTCATCATAGCTATAGTCAATAAGGAATAGGCGTTTGCAACGATGACCCGGTGTGTAAATTTCGTCGCAATTGTAGCATAGGTTGCGTCGTCAACGATCTTGGATTTCTTCAGCCGTGAGTCGCTTGATCGGCAGTGTTGAAGGTTTTTTAGTCTAATTTAGCAATTGTGTGGTTTTTGGGAAATTTTGGGAAGTTAGGATGAAACTGGAATGCTTGCCTTCAGTGTTGAGTGGAGTTTTCCTCTGATTTTGATATTTTGTTTCGTTGAGGCGGGCAAGACCAGCGACGTGTGGCAGAGTTTGTGGGTTCGCCGCTCGAACATCGGCTCGAATGGATTCCTTGAGACCGCTGACGAAGCAACTAATTTGTTGTTGTTCCGTTAAAGTCCCGGCCCTTGCTAGTAGGCGATCGAATTGCGCTTGATAATCGCGTACGAAACCAACTTGAATAAGTTTGGTGAGCTCCCCATAGAAGTCATCCAACAAGGTTGGTCCGTAACAATCGTTTAGTGCCTGCCTGAATTCCTCCCAAGTTATCCATACCCGAGTCCTTCTAATAGATTGAAACCAGAGATGCACTCCCCCCTCCAGATGATAAGCTGCTAATGCAACCTTCTCATTGGTAGGTGTCTTGTGGAACTCAAAGAACTACTCCACCCGATCAATCCAAGTGATAGGATCATCAGTACCGTCGTATCGCGGAAAATCCAAGCAGACCACCCGAGGTACGATTGTTCCCTGTGCTTGCTGAAAATTGGCTTGTTGATGTGGAGGTCCGGTGTTGTTGCATCTTACACTTAATTCATCCACCTGTGTTTGAAGTTGGATGAACATCTCATGCATTTCGCGTTGCATCTGTAACATTTGTTGTTGGGTTGCTTGCAACGAATCTTCTACCGGTTGTTTGGATTGGTTACGATGAGCGGCCCCGTTGTCGGACCTTGCTCTGATACCATTTTGTTATGGCCTTGGTGTTGGCGAGCTCTCGCTCAGCCTCTGCCACGGCGGGGTATTGCCCCTGACGTGAAGAAGCTTTCAAGGAGATTGATACTAACGTAATTTACTGCAATTGAATTGTGGAAAATCAATGGTGCCCTTTCATTAATCTTTCCTTTTCTTAAATACAATGAAAATATAAGCACTACGTGCACAATCAGTTGTACACACCTAAAAAAAAGAAAAACATGCAGAACATGGAAAAATGGCCAATAAACACACTGAACAATGGCCACTTGAAACAGTTAATAACGACAAGATAGGAAAACATGTGCTGGAAACTAATAGAAATAAACAATAATATTAAAATCAACAAACTAACAAGAATTCCTAAAAAAAAACATAGTAGTTCTCTGGGCACATAACAGGAGATCTGTACATCTTCTCCATGGCGACGGTGACACGAGGTCAGGGGTGGTGGCGCTTGAGAGAGAGAAAGAGAGAGGAAGAAAGACTGAGGACACAAGGAATTGTGAGAGAAAAAAGTGAAAGAGAAGGTGAGGTGACGATGATGGCAGAAGCAACGTCTTCTCCATGGTGGCGACGGCGCCGACGTAAGAAGAAGAGACTGAGAGGGAGCAACTGGAGTTTGGTGAAGAGAGCGAGAGACCGAGAAAAGAAAAAAAAAAAAAAAAACCTAATTAGGGATATTTTAGTCCACACAAAAAATCAGCGTTGCAGAAAATGTGACAGTTTAGTATGCAGTGAAAACCTGTGGTATTCCTCCTGAATATCTCGATTCTAGCAAACTCCTGTATGCTTTCCGAAGATTAGAAAAACTAACGTGACGTCATGGAAGATATTGTTAGTTACAATGTCAAGCAAGAGCACAGGAGTCGAACCACAGCGTTATTTCTCATGGACGATATGTTCAACATCAAGCATCCAACAACTTTGTGTAAATCATAAATTTCTTTGATCTTCCACATACAGACCGTGACCGCCATTATTCTCGCGGGGACAAATTTTTCATAAACTTTTGTCAATATCTTACGTTGCCCCAAAAATTTTCAAGTGTGGTTTATGCATTCTCTTCTCGTTAATAAACATAATTATTAGTGTGACCATGGTAAAATTAATTAGTACCCGTTGAATCCCTTTTCCCACCAAAAATTATTATTATTATTATTTTTATTTTTTGTTATCCTCTTCCTTTGGTTGAAAATGGAACAATCACTATTGTAATAAATACAGTGTCAATATAATATGTAATGAACGTATGAAAATTGACATATTTTTTTAAAACAAAAAATTGGTTATTTGATATGTTATTTTATTTGTACTCTAATGTATAATATTATTTCAAATATTATATACTTCTTGTCATAATCACTATAGTTTTGAAAGTTCCGAAGTTGTAAAACTTTTTAAATAATTTGAAAATAATAATGTTGTAACTATTAAATGAAAAAAGTTATCGCATTAACCGATAGAGATAATATGTTAAAGTTGCTATACTTGATGTCTAATTATATTTGTTGCAAAAATTGATACAAAGTAGACCATATGTCAAATTTAGGATTAAAAAAAATACTGCATTGAGAGTGATTTCCTATCCAAAAGTCAAAATTAGAGATTGACACAGCCTCTTAGTATGGAGAAAGAGACCAACTGGTCTTTCAAGTCGTTGAACAAGAAATAAAGAAGATGCACAGCAAAAAGTTTGCCAAAAAGAAGATGAAACAATGGCTTTTCGAGTAGATATATTTGAGAACAACAACAGAGTTAAGATTTGTAAGCTAGAGTTGGAGACTAATAAATTGAACGTGGTGTTAATGATTTGTGGGATATATATATATATATATTAATATTGTTGTTTCGGTGAATTTTTTATTTGAATGAAGTATTAGGCATTTTCACCAAACCTAATGAAATGTAATGAAAAGGTAAACGAATCGCGGGGACGGGGTAAAAGAATAAGGGTTGTTTTTTTGCAACAAAACTCAAAAAAAGTTCAAACTCAAGTTATAACTTTATTCAAGTTCACGTTCTTTTAAGTTCTAATTTTATTCAACTTTACTTAACTTTATTCAAGTTACAACTTTATTCAAGTTATAACTCAAGTTATAACTTAAATTCAACTCAAAAATTACACTCAAGTTACACTCAAATTACACTCTAAAAGAACAACCCCTAAATATTTGCTTACTTATTACAAGTTGAATGAACAACCATCTAATTCATTTTTTAGTGTTCAGTAAGTATAGGAATAGGAATCTTCATTGTGTACGGTCCCGAAACTACGGTGTTTAGTTTTGTAAGTAAACACGATTAAATAGAAAAGGGAAACACTCCTCCCATTTACTCCAAGCAAGCTTGTCCGGTGGGAAATTTGTATTGTTTATCACTATAACAAATTATTATTTATGGAACTGAGTTTTATGAACTTCCATGTCTAGATCCTAAAAGCCATTGTGACTTTTTTTATTTTTTATTATTTTATTTTTAAAAGAAAGTAGAAAGAATAAGAACATATAATCAAATCGCTCCATTTTCATTTAATTCATGTCAAATGTTTTCATATCGGAAAAAAAAAATTAGAAACTCTAACTAGGGTTGTGCACGGTTTGGTTCAAACCGCAGTTTGAACCGGACATGTAATTTTTTAGACCGTCGGTCCAGTTCCACGTCAACATCATTAATAAACAGTTTAAAATTGGCGTTCAGATTGGACCATTTTCTTAATAGTCAAGTCTAGTTTGTAATTTTTTTCCTGATGGATCACTAAGGATATATATTTAAAAAAATTAAAAATCTTTGTTATTTATATTTAGACTTTGGATTAATTTTAAAAATTCTCCCCAAATTATGACCCTTATAACATTTTGCCCCTCGAATTTTAAAAAATAACATATGTTCCCCCGAACTTTGTTTAGTTAACAAGTTTTATCCTTATGTTACAACGAGTGACGGAAATCGTCACGTATCAGGTACATGACTCATATGAGGAGGGTATTATCATAAATTAACCTACAACAACCCTAGGTTATTAAAAAAGTGATTAAAAAAACTCAAACGCGTTTAAAAAAACCCCATTTTGTTGATTTTTTTGGTTGTGTTAGGGTTAGAACTTTTCCCCCAAAAAGAAAAAAATGCGGAAAAATCAATCTTCATTGTAAATTTCCGTGGTGAATCACTCCCAATGGCTGCAACATGGGGAAATATTGGCGATTTTAATTCTATTGACAGTGAGTTTGCTCATTCTTTCCTTTATTTGTTGCGTTTTTCTGAATACTTGCTAAATCTGTTTGTTAATTGCTAAACTTGTTTTACCATATTATCTTTGTCGGGGTTTGTTGTTTTACCATGCAATCTTGTTGGGTTTTCTTGTAAATTTTTTTTTTGAGTTAATATGCCCATTGTATTGTAGGAACTTGCCATAGATGAATGAGGTGAGGGAAAAAAAAAATAAAATGAGAACGAAGATGGTGAATTTTTTCAATAAAAATTGAGAATTATCTGATTAGGATGGTATAAACGTAATTGCGCTTTCAATTCTCACTAAATAAGTGACAAGTTGCGATTTCCGTCACTCATTGTAACAGAAGGATAAAACTTGTTAACGGAACAAAGTTCGAGGGGAATCGATATTA